TATATTATAGTTTTTTAATATTTTTTACCATCTTGTTTGTATTGATTAATATATTTGTTTCAATTATATTTTAAAATATTATAATTGATTAATTTTTCAAGATGTTTATTTGATCATTTTACATAATTTATTCATCAACTAGCTTATCAATTAGTATACCAAACATAGCCAAAATTTCTATTTTATCCATTTCGAAATATGTTGAAAAATGTCTATAATTTCTTTAAAGTAAAGAATCAAATGTTAAATTTTTTACAAGAAATTACATTTAATTCAACAAATTCTCTACTTTATAGAATTTCAACATCAACTATATTATTAAAAAAATCCCAATAAATTTAAAAATACTTTATATAAGAAACTAATAAATAAATCTAATTGACGACAAATATTGAGACACCATTTCTCTCTTTTCACAATAGAGTTTTAGAAAAATTCTTTATATTTGTAGCTTTTTCCTTAGGTTTTTCTATTTTAGAGAACAATATAGATAAGCTGTTGAATACTAGAGAATATAAAAACTTTGTTTTCTTTATTATACAGAATTTGTTCGAGATGCTCTAAAAATCATAAACTTCAAATTTTCTAATTAATGAAAATAACATTGAAAAAATAATAACATATATATATATATATATATATATATATATATATAACAGAAAAAAGATTTTACCTAAAATGTGATGTTTTAGAGTTATAATGTCCCATTAATTGACTACTAACCTTTTTAATGATAGATAAACGAGGCCTAATTAACACTCTCTTATTAACTCTAATTATAAATAATGAGGGTCGTTAGATGAATTAATTGATAAGTCAAAACAATTTAGTGATGATCGGAATTAGTCAAGGGTATTCGGTTGTAATTGATATAAATAATTTGTCGTATTTTCTTATTTATTTTAATATGTTTTTATATTAAAATAATATAAAATTTGAGATACAGCCGTCTTTTAGTTTTAATTAATTACACCATTTTAAGACTAATTATATATATGTTAAACGATACTAGTTGTGTACCCGCGCAATGCGGCGGRAGCCGTGAATTTTAACGATTTTGAAGTTTCACGGGTTTTATCATAGAAGATTTAACGTTGATATAAGTTACACTTGGTCTTTACATATTAATACAATTTGAACAAATAAGAGTTATGATTCCCATTACAGTCTATCGATGAAAAAAATTATATAATTTAAAATCCAATATATTTAGAATCCAACATATGTAAACGACTCCATAAATGTGTTCGATTTACACCAAGAGCAAACACATATGGTTGAAGCAAACGCCGTACCACATAACCAAGGGGCCGTTTACCTAAACACTTACCCGGTAAGCGCTTAAAGGTAAAATTCAACGTTATCGCTTACTTACTTGGTAAGATTTTAGTCTACCAAAACGACATCGCATGTAACAACTTACCCAATAAGCGATAACCGTGGTAAGAGCTGTCGCTATCACTTACCAATACCGGGTAAGACTTTCGGTTATTGCTTTCGCTCTTACCGGGTAATATTCTTGATCTTTGTCATATTCATCTAATGAGGTAATATGACTTGATAAGCGCTTACTCGAGTAAGCATTTGATAAACGGTCCCTAAAATTTAAAGAATATAGAGCAACGATATGAGTTTCGTACCAGAATTTGAGCATGGGTAACAGTCTGTAATCCTCCCTTTACGCTATCACCAGACAAACTTATAAAATATTTTACCTAATTGATCATATGGGTTCAACAGGTGTAATTTTTCTTACACGTAAATTACCATCTTACCTATTTTATGAAAAAATAGTAAAAGATTTTTGGCTTAAAATATATGTTGCTTTAGATATATAATCTCACAATACAACTACAAATAAAAGATACATCAAACATAATCTTTTATATTAAATCTAAACTGCAAACTTAACAGATGATAATTTCTTGAAACCAAAAAAAGAAAGCATCAGCCCCAGAAATGAAAATGGAAAATTATAAAGGCAATTTCTACATTATATTGATGGTAATCCACTATGTCTCCAAATATCTCCACCCTCATTTAAAAAATTCATCAAAGCATGCAAAATTGAACTGTTTTCAACTTTCTTTTCGAATAATTCAAAATCAAACATGTTTTCATTCATCGTCTGCGCCACCAGCTGCCGCACTCGGAGCATTCAACCTCTCAATAAGCTTCTCTTTCCTCTCATCATATGTTAGCTTCTTCAGGTTGAACCTAAACCCACAAAAACAACATCAACACACATAATCATCTCTCTGTTTTTATAAACATAATCTTCTGCAAAATTATCTTTTTACCATCAAAAGGACAGATTTTAAAAAATGAGGTTACCTCTTGTGCTCATTTGGAGGCTGTTTCTCCAACTTTCTTTGGGGTTGGATCAGCACGAATGGCTGAATGCACCTTCTTGTATAGCTCTTCAATGTTTTCTGGGTCAACTCCAGCTTTAATGTATTGAGAGAAGTGAGACTGATACTTTTCCTGCTCATCTTCCATCAAAATCTGCATATAAACCAACTATTTTCAAAGATGCACTACATCTC